TTCCCTTGCCTCGTACGTGAAAATAAATTAACATGCTTTCCTTTGCACGTTGAGCTCGCATTATAAAATAATACTTTCAATACTATTAATGAAATCTACTATTTTATTACATAGCAACTTTATTAAACTGAGTTTATGTTTCTTATATCAACTAAGCTATAAATAATTGGTGCATTTTTCCCTGTGATAATTACTTGTTGCATCAAGCAGATTATAACACAAACAACCATAGACAACTTTTACAACAAACTGAAAAGGGCCAGATCAGTGACAAAGACAAAAGGTAACAGGAAACTAGTGATATTGCTTCACCTTTGAAAGGTTGATAGCCTAAGCTGGACAGCCAAATATTTTTAGGAACTTTGATTAGAAATATTCTTAATGGGAATAAGATATTATTTAATATTTTAAGTCCAGCTGAACGTATATTTATAAATTACAGAAATATTTGTAGGCTATATTTAATATATTTTTGTCTAATTTTTCTATTATTTCCACAGAAATATATTTTTTCGGTCTTATTGCTTGTTACTTACATACTTTGTTAATTACATTAACTTCTATATAATTTAGTATGGTGAATAATCAACTTGATACTTTTCCATTGGAGTAAGTTAAACTTCAATTGCATTGTAAAATGTATAGTTTATATCAATGGTTTTTAGCACTTTTCAGCGTTATTACAACAACATCAGCTTATAATTAAATTAGTATAGTATGCCAGATAACTAAGAAAAAGGTTAAAGTAAAAAAAAATAAATAAACGATCACCAGGATTTATGTAAACACTTTTTTAATTTTTAAATATTTTAATTAGACTTGTAGTTTTGGTTATTATATGGTATTAAAGGTGGTAGAATCTCAATCTGAGTATAATAATGTGACCCATAATGTTCTATCCTTTCTCTTGTCAGGAAATTGTCATTGGTACGTTACGTCTTAATAATGAAGAAATGAAGTAAATAACTGCAAATATAAACTTACGTGATATATTCCCAAGTTGTAGAAATTAACTTGAAATGATAAAGTAATACTGATAAAAAATTGAAAGCTAAATTCCTAAGAACTTCCTTTTACAGTTACCAAACAGCCGTGAATTTACAAAAGAAGATGATTTAAAGTTGTATTTTTTTATAATTTTGTATATGATGAAATAGTAGAATATCCAGTATTGCCATCGAGATAAAGATCGATCGAAAGTAGTTTCATTCTAGACACGTTTGCGATAAATTAAGAGAAACGACCACCATATTCTGAGTCAGATTATGGCCTTTGAGCGTTTTGTAGACCGGTATTACTTTGGTATTAGGACTATTAGAACTTTTGTGAACACGTTCATATTTTTGGTTGATATTTATAAAACAAAATTTTTAAGTTGAGAAGAAAAATTTTAATTCTGTTTTGTTAATTCTTCTAAGTTTTGTTAGATTTTGCTCCTTTTGTGATGTAAGGCATTGGAGTGTTGTAATATATCTCAGTTATATTATTGTTAGGCTTAAAAATACGTATAATTATTAAAACTTCGATACGCTAACGATTATAATCAAGCTTCGTAAAGGCATTTTTTAATAAGAGGATGCAAATAATCAATCAGTTTAAGCATATAGACATGGATTTAATTGAAACACCTACTCTAGCATATTCAGTCAAAGTTGTACCTAATTAATCTTTTATTCTCTTATAGCTAATTTCAGTTTAAAATTTACAAATGAACTATAATTTTTAATGTACATCGCTTGAAAATCATACATTTAACTGTATATTTTCTAAACGGAAAGTAAATAGAAGAAACATCTTATAACACTTAAAACATATATTTACGCTTATCGTGTTACTCACAAGATGGTAAATAAACATACATAAAATATACATAATTGAAAGTATAAGCGTGAATATATGTTTTAAGTGTCATAAGACGTTTCTTTTATTTACTTTCCGTAAATTTAATAACACGTTCAATGCTGTTTAAGAAGTTATTTTCTTAACCTCTTGAAAACAACTTGGAAAAACACACTCTAATTTTTTGAAATTATCGTTTAAATGATGATTATCTTATTAAAATCTATAAAATAACTAAACATTCGGATTTTTATTAGAAAAAACTGGAACGATTTTGATTACAACTTTTTAAGGTATGTCCTAATAATTGTGGTCAAAACAGTACAACCTCAAATGCTGTAAAGGTTTACGGTTAAACATTTATTGTAATATTTTTTGGTGTTGCCCATAAAATATCATGGTTATTTCTGATGCTTTAATATTATGAGGGGCTTTTACATATGAAAGAAAGTAAGTATCACTTTTTAGATACTATTTATGTAAAATTACTATTAACTAAGTTTTTGTAGTGACTTTAGCATTAACAGGTATGCATCTTATTTATTCACGCTGCAGCCGTTTATCTGGACTATACTAATTATTAATTATTTAATTAATTAATTCTGTACAAGAAGTATGAAAATTAATTATGTTTCCTTAAACATCCTAACTAAGGATAGATTTAGAATAAATATATTTTAGTCTTTTGGTGTTGTTGAACTGCATATAGTCTCAAAACGAATTCCAAGTGTACAAGAAGCTTTTTTAAGAACGGAAATGGTTGCAATCCAGTTTAAATTAGCTCTCATAATAACCTCAGTCTAATGGCATTAGTGCGAGTGCGTTTAGCCCAAGTTATAAATCACTTTATGACCAATAAACAGTGTATTACGATTGCTTGCCTATTACAGCCTCTAATAGAATGGAGTATTGTGAGCTTAGTCATGTGCCAGAGTTATCGTGCACTTCACGTTCGCGGTTATAAACCTTGCAAAGTAGCGTAGCTTTATTGACGTATGCGTTATTTGCATCGGTCAAAAATACCCTTATTGGTTATAAAGCCACGTTCCCTTTTATCATAGGGGGTTCTAAGAAAAAACTGTGTATATTTAAAATGCTATAAAATCAGTATTTTAAAGTAGAATCAATGTTTAGGTTACACTATGTTTAATCTTCATCATAAAATCTACCTTTTTAAGAAAAATTTTTTGAAAACTAAACATAGATTCTTATGTAGTATGGCTTTTAGTTTAAGGATGTCCTTAATACAAATGAGATCTTTATAGGTAAATCTACAGCAAGTTGGATTTTGAACTACCAAAACACAGCTGCATTGTATTTGCAATTTGGGTTTCCCCGCGTTGCAGCTAATGTTTTATTGATGATCCACTTCATCTGATATTTTCATAAATATACAACATAATACCATAAACATTTTTGTTTTGTATTTCAACTGTTAATTAAACTACATGTTGTCCGTGTAGGACTACTTTCATGTGGCAGGTGAGTATTATTTTCATATATATACAAGTTTAAAGGTAAGCTCGAGGAGATGCGGTAGAACCTAGTGGCAAAGGCTATTAGATACTAAAGTATCAACAGTTAAAGCTAGGGTTATAAATGCTTGCTTTCGAATCAGATTGTCATTTTGACGACTCGCGGAAGAGATTTTAAACTTAAATGACATTTTTCATGGGGATATCAATTAATTATGATATATATGAAAATATGTTGAAGTTACACAGTAGAAAGACTAGGGGTTGGCGTAGTAAGACTAGGGGTTAGCTTATTTTCTTACATGATCCGAAATACTCACAATAAAAAATGGTTTTAAGAAAGGTTTTGATTTTTTTTTTTTTAATATCATTCACTTTGTTTATAATACTATATACTTATTACTTGGCAGTATTTTTCATCTTTGCCTAATCATTTCTAAACAGTTAGAATGTACCCTTATTTAATGTATTTTACCCCAGTTTTATTGAATTTTTATTGTACTTTGACGTAGCCTATTGTACAAACTTAATGGCCTAATAAAATCTTTGAATCTTTGAATCTTATGTATTCCTTATTGTTTAATATAACTGTTTACATGGAAATCTAATCACAATGTTATCGCATAATGCACACATGTTTTACACTAGTTATTCTCCATTTGTATCTAATTACTGAAGATAATTAGTTAAATAAGCGATCTACTGATCAACCGGTGTAAACTGGTCTAGAGGACAGTGTATTGTTGTTAGGCTGCACTGATTCCAATTAAATCATAGCTTTAATTGATTGTGTTCAGTCTGTGTTAGAAGTTTATTTGATCTTATTTGCCCTATTATTAAAAGATTGTATATAATTTATAGTATAATATTAGTGTGTTTGTACAGTATCATCACCTACTTGATAAATAGCTGGAACGATAGTAAAAACATAATCTATCCGCAAAAAGATAAGTGGAAAAAATTTAAAACATTAGTGTGCAAAAACCAGTAGTTAAATGTGTGATAACCTAACCAACTTTAAAAATCCATTAGACTATAGATACATTAAACCAACAATTTTATATCTAAAAATATATATTAAATAGTAGTTTCTTTAGAATCAATTAATTTTTCGTAGTCACGTAGACAACAATATTCTTGTAAAATATTAAAAATAAATTATTTTCTTTCTGTTGTATAGACTATTTTAGAATTGGAGGATCTAAACATGAATAATCAGCGAATAAAATTATACGCTTAAAACAAGCGATTCCTCAGAAAGCCCAAATGCCGTTGGCTTTCAAAATTAGGATCGTGAGCCTTTAAGAGGATCACGTTATGAAAAACCCGGTCTCACTGTAAATTACTTATCTACTTTTATTGTTAAATAAAAAAAAAACTATAGGTTGGCAGAATCAATGTATTTAATTTTAAATTAAATAAATTTTATTTTTATGAGGGGAATCGCTCCTTACAACCTCTTACATCATTTTTTAACTTTCCTTGAATCACCTTCGCACCAATAAACCAAAAAGCTTTCCCGGAAAATATGTCTTGCTACGACAATAACTGGCGAAGAATCGGACTAGCATACTCGGTGTCTGTATTCCAGAAATGAATTGGAGATGATGAATCGCACGCGCGCGCGTGTGGGGTTGTGCGTGCGAGTGTTGCCCCGTCTAGCCGGACAGTCAGTACTTATGTAACTGTGGTATAGATAGCGTCGCGTCGCGCCCGGAGGGTGTACGTGAAGATGCAGTACTATTGTATACTTTATTTACATTGTGGTTTTGACATTTAGTGAGTGTTCTAGCATTTGGACCTACTTCACTTGTGTTCACCAAACAGGATATCGTTTTAAGGTTAGTAAGCTCTTGATTATTTTAAATTATTTTCTACAATTCTAATTGCATCTTGTAATCATGAACACCAAAGATCTGAATATAAGGAAAAGAGGTAGAAATCCTTCAATTTTTTACTATACTGGAGTTTAAAAAGATCGCTCCCACACCTAAGTTTAAGACATCAACCAAGCTTTGGTTGATATAACATAATTCATTGTAACAACTGTATAGATAAATTCGCATAAGTTTAAATAAGACAACATTATTTTTTTACATTATTTTTAGTTTTGAATGGGATTTTTTTATATTCAATAATTGTTGTAAATCTATACTGTAAATATTTGTACATTTCTTTTTATAAATGGAATTTTCCTGTCCTAACTTATTTTTACAAGTTAGTAACTGCAATTTTTTATTGATATTTCAATAGGTTTTTCTTATTTACTATTTAGTTTAAGTAACAGTCGGTTCAGATGAGCATGTGTCACAGATGTCACTAAATTTGATTGATTTGGGATTTTATTAATTTTCATAATAGTACTTTTAACACTATAGTTGAAGCAACGATATTATATTATATTCCACTAATATAACAGTTTGTGTTGAATTTAGTTCTGTAGTACTTGTGATGTATGTCTCAAAAATACTAAAAACATTGCTATGCATATACGATTGTTTTTAAGCAAATGAATACGAATCCAAGTATATTCAGCGCGATGATTAGTTACAGGAACAGGATTGATTTAAAGTTGTTCAGATTCGTGGTAGATACTCTTGAAGCTACGACTTAGTTAAGCCTTTTGTACTCAGTGACAAAAACTTCGAGATCCTACAACTCCACACGAAGTTCAACTAAGTCAAATCCTCTCTTACTTGTCTTAGAGTCTCAATGGATTAGATTGAGACAGGATAGTAAATTAACAAAATACCAATACCAACGTGTTGTATTTTCCTAAAACAGAATATGGATCATAATTAGTAATGAGAATTTTCTAAAATTATTCTTTCAGAAAAATTTTTAGTCCATAAAAAGGTATTTCAACTTTGTTAAGAAACGCTATTATTAATAATTCTACATGCCAAATGCTTAGAAAATACATTGATAAATATGTTGTTGCGACAAAAAAATCAATAACTCCGATACTCAATAGAATAACATTAAATAATGTGAGTTTATTTAGTTATCAGTTTAGTGCGAAATATTATGTTCAACTCAGCTTGTTTCAACTACATCTATCTAACACTGCCATAACAACACATCATAATCTGAGGAAAGATCGGGGTACATCAAAACACAGTTTCACTAATAACCTTATGCGTATGTAGTGTACATTGTAGGCAATTTCTTCGCACTGTAATTAAAATAAAAAGTTCCCCTTTTAATAAATCTTCGATAATCGTTCGTTACTAACCACTTAGGAGCAAATAAATTTATTTCAATTTTTTATGTAAAAGACACGCTTAAAACCCCTTTTTTATGATACATAAATTTTAAAAAATCATTCAGGTCTTGCTGACGAGTATAATTAACTCCGCGAGGTCAAGTTACAATCATACTGTAAATAAATATATTTAATCAGTTTGAGGTAATAATGTGACCGACAAAGTTTGAAAGCAGAGTTATTCTTGTCATTGAGCATTGGATTTTTCGCATCAGTGGGGGGCGATGCTACAAGAATACTTGGACTGGCCGTCCACTCACCGTGTCGTGGTTTGAGCGCTTGCCTAACCTCTCCGCGAAGTTGCCAGGACCCAAAATAGCTCTCTGAAGGAAATTGGCCCAATTAAGGGCTAACTGTGTCGCGGCAAAATAACTGAACTCAAAAATTACTGTCAAACGTGGAAGCAACTTCTGTAAGAGACTATTTTGAAGGATATTTTTATGTATCTAGAAAACGTAATTTTTTTATTACCAACTAAGTTCACCTTCAGTAAATAAACATTACAATGGATAATGTTGGTAATTTTATTTCAAGTTTTAGTTATTAAAGGCTTTGACGTAATCCTAATTATATTTCAAGTCGTTACTCAACCAGTTTTCCATCCCGTGACCGTGACCATTACACCTTTGCAAATAACGTTCCAATAATGTATAAACTCTACTGTTTTTTACCTGTACCATCCAAATAAATTAGTAAACAATTTATTAAAATTTGGATAAAACAGTGATACAAATTTGGATTCACAAATACATCTAAGTAACGTGTAATCAGATTAAATCAAATTCCCACAAATAAAATTGAAGCAAATGTTTTGCTACTGAGTTTTAAATTAAGCAAAACAGCATCATTGAAATGTGTTACGTTTCTGCTGTTCAAGTAATAAAGTTACAGACTTATTTGGTGTCTTAATTTGAAACACAAAACCGTTTGAAACAATATGAGTGTAACACTAGAAGAGTTCTTATTTTTCAAAGAAAAACCGCTTTATTAGTACGGCAAATATTTTTTACTATCACTTTTTACCCAAATTTGTGTACAGTTTAACAATGAACTTTGATTAAACAACTGCATAATTTCCTAGTTTTCCCTCCATTGAGTGTTTTCAAACACCATTCGTCAAACTCATTAAATATATCAACGATAAATTAAATATGTGAAGAATATGCTAATTATTACCTTTGTAATTTATAAATTGTTAATATCATTGATCATAAAAAAATCATAGCCAATAAATAATATTTATTACGCTATTAATTTATATATATTAGCAAACTCCAAAGCTTATCTATACTTAAAATTTGTCTTTAACAAAGTTTAGCTTACTCCCACTGTATCAATATATAATAATGCAACATATGGATACAAATAAGTTAGCTTGCATATTAGTGTAGAATGAAATGAGATGCCTCATTCAACTTTATTGTAAAAGACCAGAGTTTTTTTAATTTTTTTTTTCTTTTCTAGGACCAATTGATCTTGATCGAAAACTGCAGGGTCCATAATTCAAACGGTCAAAAAGCTACTGACTCACCTTAGGATTCAACCGGCACATAAGGCCTCCTCGTTAGTGTTTCGAATTGAAAATTTTAGAAACTCACTGTTTTAAATATAATTCAAGTATACTTCCATTACTATATTTCCCTAAATTCAATTTTTTTTCATTTTCTAGTCAAACTACATACTAAACGAAGGGCATAAGGCAAATCGTACATGCATGATTTACATAAATAACACATGTATAAATTGCAACAATTTTAGTTGTAAAAAAGTCACTTAAAGTCAGTATCCTTTATCAATGGAAAATCCCCCAAAACATAAAATATGGTTTTGTAAGCGTCACAAAAATATAACGTTTGTGTAATCCAAGGAATTTTTGAAACAGATCTACGATCTCAGAACGCATTAAATTGGTGATGATTTGTTTGTGTGGGTAGTTATAAATCTCTGCAGAAGAAATTCACCTCATCCGGGAAATGATGTGTGGCTAGAAGCAATGGGACGGTGGAGAGTTTCTGAACCTGTGACTAATTTTGAGAGAACAGAAGCGCGTCGGCCTGAAGTCTGGCAAGAAGCCCACCTGTGTGTGTGTGTATGTGTGTGTTAGTGTAAGTGAGGGGAATGATAGAGATTATCAGGGGGGGGGAGAGGGAGTGACTGTGTCCGTTTTGTAAGTAGGAGAGGTTAGGACCATTGCCAAAAATGCCACATTGACATGTTTAAAATCATTCGTCTGAGAATTGTTCAGTGAGTGCCACAGCCAGCGAAATGACAAAATCGTCCATTAAGTCATTTACAGTTAAAGGTTTCTATTTTTCATTTTATTGAGTCATTTACCAAGTAAAAGCATTGACATGATGCCTCAATTTTACATAACATTTCTCAAGTTTGTCTATTATTATGAAACCAAAATATTTTGTACACAATCTCTAAAAACGTTTTTGCGCTACTGCTAACTATGGTCGTTTCCTTTGTAATGCCTCTTTGTGTTTTTTATATTTTTTGCAATGATTTATTTCGTAAACGAAGACTTTGCATGTCTATTGGTTCATTTGCAGTAATTACAAACACATGTACATGTATACTCGTGACAGAAAATGTCATAACATTTCCAGATGTCACTAAAAATATTGATAACGTATAAAGTCAAACACTTGTTGTAACTGTTCTTCAGTTACTGTGTTAATATTCAGATTGGTAAAACAAATTGTAAAAAATCTATTAAAACGAAAGTAATCAATAACCGGTGCATTAAAGATGACTAGTAAACAGCAGGATACAAATATTGTTTGTCAATATACTTATCACTTTTAAAAATATCATAATGTAATTTCTTTTCTTATTTAATGTTTGAAATATTTAAATAACGATTCACAAAGTTATTTCATAAATTGAAGTTAACTATTTTTTATTTATAGGTTCAGACCCAATGCCCCTGACAGTAGGTTGCCCTTTATTGTGCACAGGTTGTACGGTTTTAATGATTTAACAAAGTTCTTAAATTAAATAACTGCTTGGAATTCTGATCCTTTAGTTACCTTTTTTAGGATTCAACCAATTACGAGGCAAGGAAACATAGAGAAAAATATTTTTGAAATAGTTCATGGACAATAATTTAGAATTTTCTCATATATTTAGCGAAAGACAACTTGAAATAAAAGCTAGCTTTGAGGTTGGAGTCGTGGAAGAGGAATTTCCATCGAATTCCGAAGTGTTTCCGCCTAGGGCTCTTCATTACAGCAAGAATGGAAGCCGAATAAAAATACCAGATGAAACTTGATCTTTTTATCTTTAGATATAATTTTTATGTAAGCTGAAGTCCACAGTTTAATGATCTAAATTTACCATTACTATTACGATATTTCAACAAATATTTTTCGTCAATGTTTTAAAACAGTTAATTTTGTCAACATCATTGGTAAAAAAGTTCTGTTCTTTTTACTCGTAACTATAAAAAAGTTACGCAAATTCACGTCTAAAATGTGATAGTGTTCACAAAGTAAGTGTAGTTTAACTCTGTTAAATCATGTAATAGGCTGCACTTTTTAATTCCCATTAAATACAAATATTAAAAAGTAA